CCACCTTGCAGCCCTTGGAACCAACATGTACAACATTTTTCCACAGATGTTACTAAAACAAAACTGATGACTCCACAGACTATTTCACTATTCATGAGTTTAATTTGCTGCAGCTAAGCTGCTCGTTACAGTCGAGCCAAGAAGCAGAAAACTTTAAATTATTTACATACCACCTGAAGTTCAGCCAGATTTTCTGTCATTGTTGTTGAGTCACTAATGACTCTAATGTAGTGATGAGGAGCACAAAGTTTTTAGTTTTATGCAGAATCTGGTTTATTTTTAGTGAAATAATAAATGAAACATGACCGAAAGTTTTAAGCTTAGATTCGGTTGTTTTTGCTGATCGTCACGGACGAGTAGTTCAAGTACTGTTGGAAAGTTGAGAATCAGATGATTGTTTATGTTTTTACAGTTTAGAGTTCAGGTGGTTAAAACTGTTTGTTCAGTTAAAAAATAAAATCACAGTTCCAGCAGAGAAAAGTTTTGTTCTTATTGTATTTTTTTTGGTGAATTTTTAAATGATGTAGAATAAAGTGATTCTGAACAAATTTCCCAGTTAGACTTATTTAGATTAAATAGATTTATCGATTATTTCCAACAGATCTTTTCATGAAAGATTGCTGCTTAAACAACCATTGGGAAGTTCAAAAGGCAACCATTTTTTTTACATTTTTACAATTTGTTACTGATAGATGGTGTCATTTGGGCTTTTTTTAAATCCTTTTTCCCCCCCTTTTTTTATTTTTTAAAGATATCATGCTTAAAACCTGCTGGTCAGATTTGGGGTTCAGAGGGTTAATCAAGCAGCTACAGATGAGTGAACATCTGGGCTCTCAAAGAAAAGAAATGATGACGAAAAAGTTAAGAAAAAGCACGACATCAGCGAAATATTTCTTCTATAATACGGGCGTCGACGCTTTTTAACAAATAAAACAAATCGGAGTAAAATATAAAGGTCTCTAAGCATCAGCTCATGCGTTAAAGTTCACTCTTCGTAAACAAGCCGCCACAGGCGGGCAGAAGCTGCCCAGCGAGCGGCGCTGCCTCCTGGTGGTTCGGAGGAGTCGCCGCGTGTCGATGCCCTCAGAGGGCGCCAGAGTGCTGCAGGAGAGCCCGGCTACGCTGCCCCCATCAGCCAGACTCTCCGTCCCCTGTGGACCCCTGACGGCTACCGTCCAGAGGCCCAGGGGGGACCGACTGGGCAGGGGCAGGGTGGTCTGGGGCCTCTCCACCGCCCCCTGCAGGGGGGTCAGGGAGGGACGGGTGGAGCAGGGGAAGGACGGGAGGGAAGGATCCAGGTCTGGAGGACGGAGGGGGTCCGGACAGTCACAGCACAGGAGGCATGCAAGGAGGGATCTGAGACATGCAGGGGGGAGGGGTCGCACAAACACAAACACAACATATACACAACATATAGACAACATATACACAACATATACACAACACATAGACAAGCACAGACACAGAAACACATCAGTGGAATCATGACTGTGATGTGATGATCAGTGTTCGTTTATCTTTCTGTGCGGTTTTATTATCCAACAAGCGACAGGCCCACTAAAGAACAACAACCAGAGATTGAAGATGAAGCAAGAAAAGCTCACAGGAGCAGCATCTAGTGAAACATCTGAATGTAAGGAGGATCTGTAAGGAGAGGAGGGGGAAGGCTGAAGAGGAAGGGTCATAAATGCAGATGTAGTGAGGGTTTGGATTGTCCACTGAACACAGACATTAATGTCACATTAACAAAAATACCATGTTCTTCTGAACCAGACTCTAGCAGGAAATATGGATCCAATCATACATACATACACTAACAGGAACTTTCTGGGGCCATAACACCACCCTGGTTTCAAAATGTTTTTTTCAATTTAAGGGCTAATAATTTAAAAACACACACATGGCCTCTGCAGGAGCAATTACAACACAATCCAGTCTGTGTTGTCGCCTACGTTCAGGGCTGTAGGGGTTTAATTTTTGGACATGTTGAACTTTAAAAGTGGTGTTAAATCCGAGACGTTTTTACAGAACTTAGTTTTGGGAATCAAACAGGAAATAAAGAAACTGTGAACACAATCTGAGACGAAGCAGCAACACGTTTCCTGGATTCTCTGTCAAAGCAGCAGATTAATGTTCGCTAATGGAAGCTACGACGTTCTGTTCTCTTTTTCTCTCTAAACTGATATTTTTCCAGCACACCAGCGGCTCACCTCGGCCTCCTCGGAGAGCGTGAAGGCCGTGGGCTTTTGCTTCCATAACGCAGCGCTCGGATTGATCTGTGGGAGGCCGTAAAGAACCTCAGTACATTAGCAGTTAATAAGCTGCACTACATCAGCAGCTGCTCCGCTGAGAATCGCCGCGATGGAGTCATTTGTCGCTGTCAGCTCGCCGCTGCCGGTCAGTCGGGACTCTGTGTGTGTGTGTTGCCGTGGATGCACATGGAAGGCGTGACTTTTGTTTTGTTTTTATTTTTTAAATCTGCGTTTTTTGTCTTTCAGTTTATCCTTCTTGCAAATGTTTCTGGGTTTTTTTTGGCATTTTTGTGGTCAAATATTAGAATAATTTAAACATTTTGCATTCGTTGTTCGGCACATATAAGCTATGCCATGTTTGGTTACGTTCTGTGGAGCAGATAAACAAACAATTATTAATTAATTTACTTTTTAACCACCAATCCAAAGTCCCTGGAGAAGAAAATCCGCTTTTCTGAGGAAGACTTGACCAAAAAAAAATCTAAAACGGAGCATGACAACAACAGCTCAAGAGTAAAACCATCACTCGTAACAAACATCTTAACTGTAGATGGAGTGCGGTGAGGCTTCCTTGTTCATTTTTAGTTCCTAACATAGAGTTTTGCCTCCCATTTCCCATGATGCAACACTGCTTTGTAGCTCCATATTCCTGTTTTTATACAGCATCTGTCTCAGAAAGTTTAAATAGCCACAAGAACTGTCTGTCATCAAGAAAACTGTTTTTGTGGATGCTTTTTTATCCAGAAATCAAGCGTTTTCCGCGTTTTTTTAAGCGTGAGATGCAATATTTTCAATGTTTGACATGTTAGAAATCCTAAAGGAATTAGACTACATTTAATTTTTAGTTTGTTTTATTTATGTAAGTTGTATCTGAGCGTGACGTGACCTCTGACCTCCCGTTGAACACTGCAGGACAAAGAAAAACCTTCCTGCAGAGATCAACAGGAAAACATCTAGAGCCGCCACCATTCAAAGTCACCGTTGGCTCAGTTTTGTGCAACACTTTGGGATATTTTGGGGGTTTGTCGTTAGTGAGCTCCCTGCAGAGATCGATGAGAAACCAGTAAAATGAAGCTGCTGCTCCGTTGTCTGGATCTGTCACCAGCGACCTGCTGCTGTTTACCTGGACTCTCTGGTGTCTCCGGCTACCGTGTGTCTCCTTCGCTTCAACTCCTCTGAGAATCGCCTCTTTCCTGACGAGCCCTTCCTCTCCTCCTCCTCCTGCTCCTCCTCCACCTCCTCCTCCTCTCCGTTCACCCCCCACGAGATCCTCCTGTCCTTCTTCTCCTCCTCTAACGACTTGGATCTGCCTCCGTTTAATGTGTGTTTTGGTGTGTGTGTGTGCAGAAGAGCATGCAGGAGGACGGAAACATGCAGCGTGCAGGAAGAAGACGCTGTGATTAGCATGCACGTAGAACAGAAAAATTAAGGCTGAACTGAATTAAAAACGACGGCGAGTGAAACCACAGAGAGGCTGACCTGAGCCGTCCCCCGGGCCGCTCCGACTGGATCGACATGTAGCTGGTGCTACTGAGGCGGGAGGCACTGCTGGCTCGGGAGAGCGCCGACATGTCGCTCCTGTCGCTCCTGTCGCTGTCTGAAGATCTGGCCGACATGTTGTCGCTGCTACGCCGCTGCTCCGCGTACATCTACGGACAAAGACGAGGAGAAGCTGAGCGATTTGCAGCTAAGAAACATTTGCATGATTTATAAAGAGAGGTGATGGCGGAGCACGGACGCTGACCTCCCGTTTGGTCTTGAGGTCCGTCTCAGGGTCGTGGGAGGCTGAAGGCCGGTAGGAATGTACTTTCAGCTGTCGGGCTCGCTCCTCCACTGCAAGGGCTGAGACCAAAAAACACAGCGTAAGACAATAAGGACAACAAGGAATAAAAAAAGACAGAAGAAACCCTCTGAAGCCCAAAAACCTGCAGGCAGGTTCTAAAGTCATGTTGTCTTAAAAAGGCTCCATTTATCTGAGCAGGGAACTGTAGAAACTGACAAAACAGACAGATTTCCAACATTTCAATGCTCCTTAAATTAAACTAAATTTGGAAAAATGTACAAAATCTGAGCTAATAATTGTAAAAATGTCATTAATTTTTAAAAATCTGCCAAAAATAACCTGTTTCCTCGAAAAAAACCTACATAAACATCACTCAGTCGACTGAACACAAATCGTAAAAGAACCCGTGTCCAAGTGTTTTATTTCTTGTGTCATTAATCTAAAGTAATTCTACCTGCTGCCACCGTCACAGCTTGTTCTAAATACATGTTATCACTGATAATAAATTAAAAAATGACACCTTTCATCAACACATGAAACTGTTCAAAAAGAAGGAATCGTCTCCGATAGTCTTGGAACACACGCTTAAGTTGGAGAAAAAAAAACCAAACGCTCTGAGCAGATTCTGTAAACGTTCTGCATCACACCGAGTTACGACTGATGCAGCTGTTACCGAGAGTCGTGTCATGAAAATACTGGGAGATTTCGGCTGCGCTGCAGGATGTGTAACGACAGAGCAGATAGAAAACAGATTAAAAATGCAAATAGATATTTAGTATGTGGAGGCACAACTTTGTTCCGCATCAGTTACACCTGTGGACACCTGGATGAATGACGCAGATGTTGATTCCAGTTTGTTTCGACTAGATAATATCAATGCATTATTATATAATTAAACAATAACCAAAGACGTAACAGGACAGGAGCTACTAGTTGTGAAGTGTGTTGTGCATTGAGGCTGCAGCTTCTGGTTCCAGACACTAGGGGGCAGTGTAACGTTCACTGGTGCTGCATCATGTGTTTCCATTGATTGAAGGGTCAGAGACGCTCACAGTCAGTATAAGAACAAACTGGATTTAAATCTGACCTGGAGAAGTTATTATGATTCAACAACTGCTGTAATCTGCACATTAAGGTGCCACGTTGGTATACTTGTCAATAAAAAAAGCTCATAATTTTATGTTTTTCTGGCGTCCCACCACTAATGCGTTGAACAGAACACACCTTGCTCTATGCTGCTGCTCTTTGCAGGAAGCTGTGGCAGCTGTCTGCCCCGGCGACCCGATGAGGACGTCCCGGTCGGAGGCGACGAGCTGCCGTGGGGGTGTGCTCTGAGAAAAACGGCAACACAAACAAGACACGATTTAATCACATGTTACTACAAATCCATCAGGTGAAGCTCAACAGAAGCAGCGGACTGATGACGGGCAGCAGTGGAGGTAAAAGTTAGGAGAGGAAAGGATCATCAGTACGGGAGAAGTCAAGGCTCTGAGCGGACACAGTGAATCCTCATAGAAATGACTCTGGATCGTTTTGGGATTAGAGGAAAGCAGCACACAGAGGGGAGCAGCACTACAACAGCATGCACCTGTCCAGCCGTGGAGAGTTTGGACAGGACCCTGACAGCACCGTGTGGCCAAAAGGCCTCAGCGGACCCCCTCGGCCTCGGCTGCCCCTCAGGATAGAGGTGGGCTGGATGCGACTGCCGTCAGCCAACGGAAAGAGACGAAGATGGAACACCGTGTGGCCAAACAGAAAATATAAAACCAACAGCAAAGATGGAAAAATTAGAGGAGGAAAGAAGAAAACGAGCAAATTGTTGTGTGTTTGATGGAAAGTGTGCAGACGGCGGCAACGATCAGCGGCCAAAGAAACACCTTTTGAAGTTTTAAAGAGCCCATATTAAGCACATTTATAATGACTTCTTGAAGGAAATTCAACGTTATTTGGTAACTTTAGAAATCAAATCTTGTCACATACAGAGCTTAAGAAACGTATCAGACCACCAGCCAACGTCAGGTTTATGCCACATTAAATTAACAGCATTGATAATTATCTAAATCATGTCTTATGTTGCTATAATGGTTAATACACCAGGATGTAGAAGCTCTTTAACCTACATGATGTTTTTGATGCTAAAATATAATCATCATTGTTATCCATGGATTTTCAAATGTACTGTTTTACAATAAAACTAAAAAAAAACAGTAATGCACGCTATTATTTCTTGATTAAGATGCCAAATTATAATTATTTATTTGCTTTCCTGAACAGAAAAGTTAGTTTTAGTGATTGAATGTTATGCTTGATTAGATTTGGGTATAAAAAAGGTGAATTTGGTTTGAAATTCCTCATTAATGCTAATTAGTAGCCTTACTGCTCACTAATTACTATAATTTGGCTACGCTAAGCTAAGCTAACTGTAGCTTTTTATCGTGAATGTAGCTTAATTCCAAGCACTGGGTGTCAAAAACAGTGAAAAATAAAAAAACGCAAAACAGGATTTATTAAGTGTTAAAAGATCACATCACAAGCACTGGATTGTGAGCTGTAGCGTGTTTATAGCTAATGTGCGTGGTGCTATGAGGAAGCTACATGCTAGGCTACATGCTAGGCTACATACTGCACAACAACTTAAAAAGAAAAAAAATCAGTACTCCAGATGTGATTTAAGGCACAGATGGTTGGATATGATCCATCCAGGAATGAGAAGAGATGAAATGAATGAATGAATGAATGAATGAATGAATGAATGAATGAATGAATGATCTTACCTGTCCCCCTCCAGGCTTTTCTTGCTGCCTCTGTGACAGTTTGGACTTGATGAATTGCTACACTGCCTAACAGCAGCCACAGAAAGAGAAGGGAACAAAAAAAACGAGCACAATGTGGGAAAATGGCGATTCACAGAATGGAAACAATGAACAAACAATGAAAACAATGTAAAACGCTTAAGCTGAGACTTTGATTCTTGTCATTTATAAAGGAAATACATCTGAGAGCTGCATGTGCTGTAAACGTTACAGCAGAGGAGGTGCTTTCAAGCCAGAGAAGGAGGGAAATTCAGAAGTCAGCAGAGAAGCAGGTGCAGCAGAATAAACGAGGGATTACACAGCTTTAGAGCGCAAATATGTACAGGAAAGAGGAAGAAGAACAAATCAGGAGATCTGAGATCCAGTACAAGTGAGGAAAGTGCAGCGCCGATTAAAAGTACTCACGCCCGCTTGGAAGTTTTCCTCTTTTATGGCTTTTCCACATTGAATCGAGGTAAATGGACTTTCTACGAAGTACTGTCATTTTACTAAAAACATGAAATGAAAAGTATTCACCCCCTACAGGTCAGTTTTTAGTCGATACACCTTTTGCCGAGAAGCAACCCCACATCATGATGCTACCACCATCGTCTTCACATCATGATGATGCCACCACCGTGCTTCACATCATGATGCTACCACCATCGTCTTCACATCATGATGCTGCCACCATCGTCTTCACATCATGATGCTGCCACCATCGTCTTCACATCATGATGCTGCCACCATCGTCTTCACCTCATGATGCTGCCACCATCGTCTTCACCTCATGATGCTGCCACCACCGTGCTTCACATCATGATGCTGCCACCACCGTGCTTCACGTCATGATGCTGCCACCACCGTGCTTCACATCATGATGCTGCCACCACCGTGCTTCACGTCATGATGCTGCCACCACCGTGCTTTACATCATGATGCTGCCACCACCGTGCTTTACATCATGATGATGCCACCTTCGTGCTTTACAGTGGGGGATGGTGTGTTTGTGATGATGCCCAGTGTCTGATATCTGCCAAACACAGCGACTAGTCAGATGGTCAAAACGCTCCATTTTGAACCTTCATCCAGTTGATTTCAGAGTAAATTCTGGTGAACTCTAGTTGAGATATAAATTCTTCAGCAGCATCTTTCTATTCGTGACTCTCCCATAAAGCTTTGACTGGTTGAGAACAGGCCGTCGTTGTTGCATGAACAGTTTGTGATTTCTAGCATTAACTGGCTGCACCTAAAATCATGTGAGTCACTTTAAAGGGGGTGAAAACTTGTGCGATCACTTATATTACATTTGATATTTTTAATTAATTGACATTACCTCGTAGAAATCTGTTTCGACTTTTTGTAAAATCTTGTTGACACAAAAAAAGGCAAATTAAATCGATTCAATGGTGACAAGCAATAAAAGCAGAAACCTTCCAAAGGGGGAGAATCTTTTTCTTATGCGCTGCACAAGCAGGTAAGCAGAGGGGGATGGCAGAGGGGGGCAGGCCTGGTGTACCTGTCTTCTTCGGGGCCCACATGTTCTACTAAGATCCTGGGGCTTGGGGGAGTCTTGCGGGGCAAAGAGTTGGAGGACCTGGAGGGGAGGAGGTGCAGGAGGAGGAGGAGGAGGAGGAGGAGCATCCCAGGGAGGGAACACCAGGAGAGGTTGTTAGTGAGTGAAGGGACAGTGACGGCTTTGTCTTTAAACTTCATGAAACATTAGCAGAGACGTGACCTGTGATCAGTGAGAGCAAGTGAACAAACTAACACAGTGGCTGATAAACTAAAACTTGGATTAGTTTGCATTTGGGGGAACAGGCTTCCTTCTTTGGAGATAAAAACGTCTGGGGAATGCAGCTGCAAGCTTTTTTTTCCCAGTCGCCCAAAATAATATCATCTATCAGGGCCAGGACACGTAAAAACAGGAAGAATCTTTGGATTTTCAACTTTCTGGCAGCACTTGAACTACTCACCTGTGATGTGCCGCTCTAGATTTAGCTACGATAAATCTAACCTTAAAATCATGACATCAAAACGGCTAATTTAATAACGTGCCAAAAAACAAAAGAAAAAAAACCTACCAATTGTGAAAAAAATATAAAAAATACGACCTCCTTGGTGCAACTAGTTTATGCTTTATATTCTTAACAAGTTATTTAGAGGAAATCTGTTTTCACTTTGACATGAAAGAGTCTTTTTTGTGGAAAATTCTCATCCAAAAAATTAAATCAACTGCAATTCTGAATGCTTTTTATTGGCACACGAGAAGAGAATTAATCTGTTTCTCATTTTTAACTCACTGTGGCTCAGGTTTACTGCCTCAGGAAGAAGCATAATTTTAAAAAAACTGAAGCTGCACTCAGGTCCTGGGATCTAAACTTCATCTATCGTCATTTAAAGTACCAAAAAAAACTATTCGGCCCCTTTTGGAGTCAATTTAGATCCACTGGTGATTTGCATTTTTAACTATTTGACATTATGTCGTGGGAAAGGATCTTTTTCTGTGTCAAAAAATTAAATTGACCATGATTCTGGTACTTTCTTACTTTTTATTTAGCGTATAGACGTGAGGATCAGTGTTTGTATTTAAGTGAGGAAGAAGCGTATTTCCAAAAAAATGTCTCCACGAAAGCTGCACTCTGGTTTCTTGAACCTCATCTTTGAAATTAAAGATGTTCCAAATCCTGAACAGCGAGTGGAAAGTGTTTAATGTATGAAAGGGACACATGACGTGAGCTGGAGTGAAGACATGCAGCATCCTGAAATGTTGAACGATCCAGCCATTAAAAAAAAAAAACTCATCTGAAAGCCTCAGATCAGTGTTTCTGAATTCGCCTTTGAAATTAAAAGAAAAAAAAAAATCAGTTAAAGTGATTTTCTCTTGATACCTGTCTCTGTCAGGGGAGTGAAAGTTGGAGTCTGGCCTCAGACATGTGGTGCTGGCACTCCTCACTCTGTCCAACGACGGCTGCAGGTCGCTGCACCGCCACAACATGGCAGCAGAGAGAGGGAAAAACAAAGGCAGAGACAGAGATGGAGACAAGATGTACGAGGAGGACGGAGGAGAGAGAGCGACGGAGAGCGAAAAGAAGAAGGATGACGAGGTGGGAGGCGGACGAAAGGAAAGACAACGAAAGGTGGTGGGGGAGGAGGGGGAGGGGAGCGAAAATCAAGAAAGGGGAGAAGGGAGACAGAGAGAGAAAGGAGGAGGCCGTCAGACAGTGCAGTAACATGTAATGGCTCTGACGCTCCGTCTCCATTTATCACAGCCAGTCACTCCTCACGGCCAAACGCCGGGACCACTCGGATGGGAGGTTGCCATGGGAACCAGGTCTAAGTGGGAGAGGGGACGGTTCGAGGGAGGAGAGCAGAGCAGCCGGTCGGCACAGTTGGAGCTGCTTTCAGACGAAGCGTCGTCGCTCCGCCGGCGTGTTGAAGCGACGCTGGTCTGACATGTTAAACGTATCGGAGCACCACCTGATGTCACGTTAACGCCCTGAATTACCTGCTTCTGTAACGGTCAACCCACCAGCAGGTAGAAGCTCTTTAACCCAAATGATATATTTAAAGCTAAAATAACATTATTATTGTTGTCCATGAATTTTCTAATAAAAAGAGTAAAGCACATTACTATTTCTTGATTAAGATGTCAAATTAAAGTTATTTACTTGCATTCCTGAACAGAAAAACTAGTGTTAGTGGTTGAATGTGATGTTTTGATTCATTTCCAGAGAAGCCCAGTGGCTCAGATTTGGGTGTAAAAAGGTGAATTCAGTTTGAAATTCCTCATAACTGTTCAAAATAGTGAAACGTGAGCCCTTCATGATGCTGGATGGAGCTCAACAAATTAGTCAGGTGGGCTAATAAACTTGTTAAACACTGTACGGCCTCAATTTTTTACAATTTCTCGAGGCCATGCTGCTAAGAAAATGTGATTTTTTTTTACCAAAACTGATAATTCAAGTTACAAAACTGGTCCTAACCTCATTATTAAACTTACTCTGGGTTGATGCTAGAAGTCCTGCATGCTGACACCGAACTCGCTTTCAGTTTTTGTGCTGCTCAAACATTTTGCAGCAGCAGCTCTACCTGCAGGTTTGAACTGGAATCTGTTTGTTTTTTTTACTTTCTCATTGATTGTTGCCTTTTTATTCTGCACTCTCAACTTCTTTGCGAACATTGCTGCAATATAGTTTGTCATAATTGGATTAGAAGTTGTCAGAACTCAGAATGCAAACTGTTTTTGTTTAGCTCGAACATTATGTGGACAGTTTTAAAGCTGCTGTTAGTTCAGATTATTTATGATCGTGTCGTCGTCGTGTATTAAACATCACTGCACTTTATCTCATCTCTCAAAGTGGTTTTCCTCTTCCGCTGCGTCCGTCTTTGCGTCACGTCGTGCTGCTTTTGTGACAACAGATGGTGGATCGGTGCCACCGCGTGACATCGTGTTTTCAGCCTCGCACGGACGGCCACGGACGGCTCAGGGGTTTGGCTTTAAAGCTCTGCCTCGGCCGGCCTCTGCTCTGCAAGCCCGGCGGATGGGGAAGGTTCTGGGTGGCGACAGGGGAGCTTCCTTACCTAACCGTGACCTCGTCGGTGAACCTGAGCACTCGGTGCGTCAGGATGCTACGAGGCAAAGTGCCACCGCCACCGCCGCCGCCGCCCTCCTGCCTGTGGGGCGCTTTGCTCTTTAGACATGCAGGGAGGGTGGAGCTGGACGCCAGAAGCCCCGCCCACCGCGTGCACAGGGAGGCAGAAGGGGAAAACAAAAAATGACACATGCAACAAAAAAAAAAGCAGCAACATAATAAATAAAGAGGGGTGGTATTAAAAACAACAACAACAACGTGAAGCTGAGCAGGACGGATAAAGAAGAACGTTTACGTAACAACATAAATGTGGTTTCTTTATGTTGCATCTCAGGTGGAACCCTGAGCTCGGGCGGCCTTTAGATCAGCAGAAACACCAGCACAGCAAATGAACACGAGATGAACTTATGTAAGAGCATAAAGATGGTTCCTCGTGTGGATTGACCCCCTCACACACACACCACATATATATAAATATATAGATGTAGGGGGGATTACATGTAATGCAGATTATGTAACACAATCTACAGATCTAATGCGGCACATGGCGAGGGAGCTGGAAAAATGTCTGCACTGGTATTTTACAGATTTTCCCTGTTTTGTTAAATTACAGATAGCAGCTAGCAAATCTAATTATCTATTCATATACCATCTATTTTAAAAAAGCGCATCAAAAACATATATTTTCACAGAGTAGTTTTTTTTTTAAATGGTTGATCATAAAATTACACTCTACTGTATTTAAATCAGCAAAAAAAAACATGACTACATTTATTACTCTAAACTACGATCAAGTAGTTTTTGCCTCCGTTCCGAGTCCTAATTAGATTTTACGTCCATTTTTCTAGATAACACATACTTTAAGCGCACTGAATTTATGAAATGCATGAAGAAACATCCTCCTCCACAAAACAAAACCTGTGTTTTCTTCATGCATGTCAGAAAATAAATCGTAGATCAGCTGTAGTACCTGGTTGTTCCACCAGGTGGAGCCTTGTACTGTTTACTATTACAGCGACCAGAGGGGTGTACTACGAAGCAAGTTTGACAGAGCCAGGTTTTGTTTGCGTAAGCTGAACTGACAAAACCGAAAGCCCCGCCAGAGATTACGGGTATCACAAAGGTGGTTACCAACTTTTCTTTGTCAACTCAGACTTTCTGCTTCAGACTCTGTGTGCGTTCACATAAAAAAGGGGCGTTTAACGTGTCATGTGACTTTTCTTCTGCGCTAAATGAAACAGTCGTGTGCATCTGCTTCAGTCAACACGCTGAGGAATATATATTTTATAAAAATGTCACGTAAAAACCGCTGCTACTGCAAATGGTGAAGACAGTAATGCTGGTAGAAAACTGTTAAACGTGTTCATATAGAATATTTTATCGATTCAGCTGCTTATTTCCACATAGCTGGACGTTAAAGTTAAACTTTAAACTTCATACATTTAAACCTGATCTTGTGTTGACGTACATTTAGGTCACACTGTCCCATAATGCAGGATATCACTTTGGTCCAATCAGAGCAAAATTAATGTTACTGATTGAATATTCTCTACAATAATTACCAGCAGAATAATCCATTTTCTCAGCTGCAGTGTAAACGGACTTGACAGAACCTGGACCAGGTCAGCGCCACGGCATCAGTTACCATGGAGATCCAGCCAGGTAAAAAGAGAGCCACCTTTGCGATACTGAAAACTCTGACTTTAAGCTCAACACACCTGCTAACCCACTGATCTCGCTCCGTAGTGCAGCCCTCTGAGGAGGCGTCTGTCAGACTACAGGCAGTTCAGGTTGGCGAGCAGAGAGCATTGTGGGAAATTAGCTAGCAACGGGCACCATGACAGAGACGTGTGTGGTGCTTAATGGCCTGAAGGCAGCGATTATAAAATGGAAGTTTGCTTCAAAAATAAATGTTTTGGTTGCTTTTGAAGACGCACATTACACACCAGACTTCTAATTCACAGCTTTATGTTTACCGCATTGTTTATCTGTTTAATCTAATCACACAGTTTGTGATCGGCACTCGAGACTAGACTCTTCTAAAGAACTGATTAGCGGCTAAAGGTTTGCGTAATACAAAGGGGAAAACACATCATGGAGTTGAAGCGGCACCACCACAAGCCAAAGCAAGCACAAGCAGCACAGCGGTTTGTGGCCATTTGTTGCCCTGCAGCAACTAAATGCCCCACCGAGTCCACGGGCGGGGAAGCCGGACAGGCACAGAGGAGGACGCGGGGGGGGGCTGCCCTTTCACGCTTACCTGTAAATGTCTTTATGGATACCGTTAACTAACAGGGGCATTTTGGGGGGCAGCGTGTTGTTGTATCTAGCTACGCCCCTGGTTGTACGCGGCGTGGACGTCATGCAACAGGAAGACAAGGAAAAAAAAAACAACAACACAACTGCTGAGAGAGAACACAAACCGATGCAGGAAAAAATAAATAAAAGAAATTAATCAAAAAGCTTGTCTGAGGTCAGGCAGCGAGCACGTCTCTAATCCCCCTCGTACAGCGATCTGCGGTGTGCGCTCATGAGGCTGCTGCCGGTCGGATGTGAGTCTACGCTACTTATGACTTTGTGTGTTCATGCAACACTGAAAATATCAACTTCACACATGTTAAGATGGGTTGTTAAAGCATAGTGAGGATGGGAATGATGACGACTGTCAAAGTGAAGCTCGGTGCTGGTCGTCTTTGTTCAGTTTTTTTTGCATTTTTTGTATTTTTTTTTTTACCTGTTTGTGTGCAGGCACTCGGCACTCCCGCCCCGGATAGACCTGTGCATCTCCAGGACCTCACTGTCATTGCCATGACGATGGGTGAACGGATGAAAAACAACACAACAGAAGAGGATGGCAACTCAGACAGGCAAAGTGGATTTATGAGTGAACAGAAAACCAGGAAATCATAAATCTGAGCTTTTGTAAAAGTCTGCATTCAACAGCAGAGAATTCACACTGTTAGTAGTATTAGTAGTCATTAGGTTACATTACACACACTGAGAAACCCAAACTGGTACAAATACGAGTAAATATCAGCATTTTGTTCATGTATGACGGAGACCAGAGTTCCTGCAAGTGTCCATCTTGTCTTTAAAGAGCCCACATTCTGCACATTTAAAGGTTTAGGGTTGCATTTTTGGGTTCTATTAGAAGATGTTTACATGATTTATTGTTCTAAAACACATTTATTTTCCTCATATGTCACATTAAACAGAAGGTCTGGAGGTCCTCAAACAGGAGCAGTGGAGCGTGAAACACTTCATTTCTTGCATTTTGGTAAATTTAGATTAAATTAACACCAGACAGAGGCTTTTCAATGCATTCTGTCCCTTTGTGAACATGTAAATGTAGTTTTAGATCGATACAAATCCACCAAGATTTTAAAAAACTGCCAAGTTGATGGAAAAAACATAAATGTAAGCGTCCTAGTTGGGTTTTATGAGTCACTGCACGTCCTTCCCTGGTTTGTAATATCTGTCGTGAATCCTCATTTGCACCTGCACATGCTTGAGTCTTTGTGTGACGTGCATCTTGCTTCCTGTTTATATGATTATTTCTAAAATGCTCGTCACAGGCAACGCTGGTTTAATTTCAGAATGAGCTTCACACTCTTCATTTTTATGCACCAATTTTTGCATTTTCTGACTCAGTTTGCAGTGAAAATGTCTCCATTTGTTTAAAGGAAAACCCCGAATTCAGGAATCCGGAGACAATTTACTCTGAAGACTCTCAAGAATTCTCTGTTTCTTTCAAACGTTAATTTTCCTGATTTTCACACAGGGATGTGATTTATAGCTCTGTCCTCGTTTGTTTGAGGTAGAAATCTCTTTAAATGTGCGTGAGCCACCTTTTTACATCAGCTATAAATTATATAAGTTATAAACTGGACTTTAAAACTAATTTTCTGATGCATATCAGGCCTCCCTATGTTTTGGGATGATTGTTAGATTCATGTGAATCCCAACTATGTTACTGAAGTTCATTAAAAACAATCATACATTACAACTTTTTGCACTAACTGATTAAAATATTGATCAAATCTAGTGAAGAACAAGACCTTATTGAAGGCTTCTTGAAAACAGAAACTTTTTATGGCTCACAAGGTCTCGACTCCAAATGAGGTGTTTCAGGTCACAAGCAGAGTTTTCTCTTTGTGTGGACTTTGGAAGTTTACAGACTTCTCAAAAGCACAAAGAGCAGCTAATTAACAGAAAACCCCAATAAACCAGAACATGGGCTCTGTGACAGCATGAACCTACAAAGACCCCCGGAGGTCCCCGCAGCAGGTTACCTGTCCTCGGAGTACTCGTAGTCCGAGTCTCCGGAGCGCTGGCGCTCCAGGTGAGGCTCGTGGTAGTGGGACGGGGAGTGGTGGCGGTTCTGGTGGATCTCATCCAAGCTCCTGATCAAATCAGAAATGTCCAGTGAGTGTATGTAGAGTACAGGAAGAAGCAGCATCAACAGGATGAGAAACATGCAAGATTCTGTGCTTTATGTAGTTTTAATTTACTCCAGTGATGTTCTTATTCTGATTTTATGCAACTTTCTCCTTCCAGTCCACTACATCACCAAAATGACACCAGTTACCAGAGGTGGCTGGAAAATGCAACCAAATCTAAGCTTTAAGATCCCTTCAGTCTATATTTTTGACAAATACAAAACTGATTCTGTAAAAATGGGCTTTTTATTGACTAAATGCTTGATTCAGTTAAACCTCTGATTCCCACAATTCATCAGGATGACACCACTGATTGGACTGGTTCCAATAACTGTAACACACAATGAATCGTTGGCTGTTCAAACTTTGAATTACTCGTCTGCAACATGTGGTTCCATCAGGAAAAATAAACCAAATCTGAGCTTAAAACCGTCATAGTTTATCACATCTTGTTAAAAAAAGAAAAACGTTTATTCGAACCACATTCTGTAAAAAGCAAAATATTCTGCACTCGTTGGCACAACCACAAAGCTGCGAGCGACAGGCAGGTGACCAACATTCAGGAGCTTTTTTGTGAACTGCAGGAAGTGTTTACAGGATAAAGAAGGCAAATTAAAAAAGTAAGTAGGAAAATATCCACAGTGTGTGGAGCCAACATTTGTTTCTCCTCTAGTGGTAACCAGTGGGGACACGTGGAGAAATACTGTAAAATGCTGAATCCAGATTTTTTTCAATTATTGTAAATTAAATAAACAAATAAATTTTACTTTTAATGATTTCTGTCATTCTAACGGTGTCACGCCGCTCCCCCTGTTTGATTCTCATATGTTGTGTCTGCTGGAGGGCGACGCCGACCTTTGCATGGGCACGTGAGCGGGCCGGGACCGAGCCCTGCAGGAGTCCTCGCGGTGAGGAGACACCGAGCGCGACCGGTGCTGGACGGGCCGCTGCTGCTCCGGAACCGCTAGCGTGCTGCCGCGCTCGCGCTCCCTGGAGTTACGCTCTGCACCTGCACAGGTAGCCGCACACACACACACACACACACACACACACGGGAAACACACATCCGGGCGTTAGTCGGGCGTCCTCGTTGAGCTGCTCGCTACAGACGACATTCTCTGACAAGAATGTAAAACATCACATCTGGATGTTTTACAGGCAGATGAGCAGCTAGCAGACAAGTTCAGCTGCTCATGGGACTGTTTCTGCAGTGGCAGACCTGAGATCAGTCAAGTGCTTGTTTTAACCCCACAGACGCACCAGATGGGAATCAGACAGTAAGATTTAAATCTACCACAAGATGCTGTAAACAATTAATAGGATGTTTTAGCTCCATCTGAACATAAAAAAATCACCAATTTTACACCAGAGTCTCTAAAAACAGAAAAAAACGAATCTGTAATCAAGTCCTTGAACTAATCATGTGTGACTTTCCAGGAAAATTAACCAAATCTGTCACATTCCATCAAATGTATTCTATGTGTCACATTTGAAAATTTGACAAAAATAGACCTTTTGCAGGAACAAGATTCTGTAAAAGACAAAAAATTCTCAGCTCCGTAGTGGATCCATGAAGTTATTACTGACTTAGCTGCGACCAACATCCACATAAAGAAAATTCTGGGACTTTTCAGCTGAACTGCACAGAGCAGAGAGGAGACGAGTGTGGAAACTAATACAAAAATGTAAAACATCTTTTGTATGTAGAGTCATATTTTTTTTCCAGTGTTGGTAACAGCTGTCAATACGAATGTTGTACGTGTACTTTCTAAAATAAATAATCAAAGAAATTCAATTTTTTCTGCATTTTTTTGGTGATTTATGGCATTTTACTTTATTATTAGGCACAGAAGATGTTATTGAGTTCCCCATAGAGGTGAAAAATGAGCCCACAGTGAAGGAAAAACTAAAAAAAAAAACCTGCTACAGAGTTAATCAAAAAAGTAATTTGAAAATGGAAATAATTGTTGGTTGCAGCCTTAATCAAATTATTTCCTGAGCGTGCACACTTTCTGTGTCACAAACCCATCTGGCGTCTGAAAAGGCCAAAACAAACCATAAAAAGCTGTATAAATATTTAAACCGGAGCAGGTACTGAAGCCGCAGCAGAAACAGGCAAACAGCAAAGCAGTGACTCTACCGTCCAAAATAACACAAAGTCATCTTTAGCTGCACATGTTGGGTGAAGGGACGCATGCAGGAGGAGTGGGATGACAGTGAACTACTGCAGCTCTACAGTCTAACATGCACTCGGTGTGTCGGTGTTTCTACGGCCCAGCAGAGGAGGAGAAACTGCAGCTGCACGGTTTAAAAACAACCTGCAGTCCAGCAGTAGTAGCATGGTGAGAGGTTATGCTGATCTGATATGCAGCAGATTGAATATCTTTAAAGCCAAGAGGAGGTTTTGAGGTGGATGGAGAAGATCTCTCTCCCAGTGCTGGGCGCCTACAGGCTGCTACGACTACGAGGAGATGCTCAGTAACCGTGGCCCCCACCCACCTTTAGTCACTACTACCAAACCATCATCAAACTCTGTATCAATGATGCGATGGGACCCTGCACACGCACACACACAAACACACACACACACAGCACAGGGTTAAGGCCGAGAGGTTCTGTTTGTTAGATTCAACGCTGAGAGACACAAAGAAGAAAAGAGAGAGAGCTGAGCACAGGATGGTTAGAGGAGACACTCGGAGGTCCAGCGGGGCGGACGGGGTCAACGTACTCTGCAGCTTCTTGCTGGGGCTGTCTCCGTGGCCGCCGTGTCGTCGGGGCAGGTAGGGCGATGGCTGAGGCAGCGGGATGGAGGACACGTCGTGGGTCTGCAGCTTGTACCAGTGAGGGATGTCGTCCAGCAGGGCCGTCTCCAGCTCGATCAGGATCTGAGAGGAGACGGTGGCAGATCAGCGGGCAGGAGGGAAACCGAACAGCTGGAATCAACCCCACCGAGCTTCTAATGCAGTTGTTGAGCTTTTATAATGACAGTAACCCAGTTAGACAGAGACTTTAACCACCTGGACCAAGAAACCAGGTTAGAAAGACATGCTGGCTGTGTCTGAACTCATCTCGTCCCGATCTAGGGACCACTACGTAGTGAACTACGTCGGGAGCACCTCGGCAAAGTAACACTTCGGACACGACTCAAGCTAATAATGTCGTTGCTCGCTAGCCATGACTTGTGCCGCATCAGATTCACAGTTTATTGTGTAGCTAAGAAACAGGTAAAATCAAATTTAACAACACATGAACGGTAAATCACTCACATTTCAACAAGTTTTCTCTTTCGTCTTGTTCACGTTTCCTTTAGCGAAATGCACGACTTTCCATATTAGTGACCATCGGTTGTACACTATTCATCACAGTGCATTGTGGGATATTTTGAGTGCACTATATAGGGTGTAACATTTGTCACTTAACGTGTTGAGTGAAGGAAAATGCCATAATCAAATTTACAATTGCAATAATGACTGCAAAAGGTAAAGAAGTCTAAATACCTTCTGCAGCGACTGTACGTAGATGTGATATTATATTAACGTTACAGTAAACAGTGTTTTCCTGTCACTCAGTTTGCAGTCCAGCCTGTGAAATGGTTCTAAAAGCAGCGGTGTGTCGCCCACCTCTCCCAGGAACTCGCTCTCCTCCTCCTGGACTCGGGGCTGATCCCACACCGTGATCTCCAGCATTCGCTCTCTGAAGTCCCGCCGGTGGACGTGGGAGTAAAGGAAGGTCTGGTTCCACTTGGGCTCGGCGCTCTTCTTCACCGTTTTAGTCCGTCGTTTGCTCTTGTCGCTGGAAACGAAGACGGTAGAGGGTTAGAATGCAGGGAGGAACGCGGCAGCGACGCCTTAAAACGACAACCGCAGATGAAGACGGCGAGTTCACCTCCGATCGGGCAGGAAGTACATCTTGACGTAGGGGTTCCTCGGTCGGCCGTCCGGTCGGGTCGGCAGGTCTATGGCTTGAAGGACGTTGACGATCAGCTGGTGACCCACTTTGTCGTACCAGAGCTTCACCTGGAACAGAGACACGTTAGCCTCTTTTCAAACCACGTTCTCTCTGATTGGTTTGAATTTATCCACTCTGTGTTTATCACTTACAGAGAGCTGCCCGGGCAGGACCAGAGGAAGGTCTCTGAGGGTCCCGGGGCTGGTCGGGGACATCACCGATATGGAGGGACGGTCCATCTTCTGAGACTCAAAGGAGCTGGAGCCTGCTGAAGGACGAAAGAGTAAGAGAAACAGTTCAGGACCTATATCTGACATTAAACCACAGTTTGTTGGGTATTTTTACGCAGAGGCTGACTAAATAAGCAATAGAGGTTGGTCAAATCTGTCATTTTCCGGAATTTTTTCTTCTATTTTACAGATTTTTTTCATGAAAATCTCAATAAAAACACAAAACGAAACCATGAATTCGCATGCACAGTCTAAAATAACTCATAACTGTGAATTCCCACGCAATGTGGCAACAATAAACCACCATTTATCAGAGCAAATGATGCTGCAAACAGAAAGAATCGGGGCTTGGGCTACTCTGTGGGGAAACTAAAGCCAAATCGAACCTGAAAATGATCATATTCAATCATAATCAGTGTACTCTACATGTCTCAATTAAAACTTTGCCAAAAAGAAACTCTTTGCTGGCACCACATTTTGCAAAAGAAATGGAAAATTCAGCGTTTTTCAGCACAACCGTGAAGCCGTTACTGACTCAACAGTCACATGGCAACAAATCAGGAAGTTTTCGGTTGAACTGCAGGCAGTGCGCAGATAGGGAAGAAGCGTGGAACGAATTAAAAACACAAGCAGTAAAATATCTATCGTGTGCAGATATAACACCTGCTTCATGTCTTTAACCCACTGGTTAAATTAAACTTAAAAACTACAAACTACAACACACACAGCCAGTAAAGATCCACATGTAAACACTTACTGGATTCTAGAGGAGGATGAGGGGACTCTGGGATTCTTGGGATGTCTCTGTGAAAAGAGAGTCATTGAGTACGTTCAGATGAACAGGACACGTTGTTATGGTTTCCCATTTCACACAGGATTAGCACATTTCATTAACTGGACATTCATCTTTAAAGGATGAATGAGCAACAGACAGGTAGAAGTCAGGGTTTTTCCTGCTTTTAGGGGGCGACTGAACATGACGTGGTGGACGACTGCACCGTGAAGAGTTTGTTATCTGACAGAAATCTGTGCTTCTTCCTGGTGTTTCTGAGCATTCGATGTCTGTTGTGTTTGAGTGAATAAAACCCCAATTAAGACGCCTTGTAAAGTGATTTCTATTTTCAGTTTTGATCATCTTGTGACTTTTCCTAAGCCTATTCAAACATTCCTCTATGCAGGAAAAACCCTGGAAGAAGAACAAGCAGTCAGTCAAAAACATGTCGACATACTAACATGGCGGGTAGTAGAGGAGAAAAAAAAAACATCTGGAAAAAAGGGGATTTGTCTCTCGGATCTGAAGGATGTCAGGGGAAGATGCACGGGAAAGGGGCTCCACCCATTGAACCAGCTCTACTTACTGATACGCTCTATACACTTTTCTCAAGAAGTTTTTGGACATAATTCGGTGGATCGAGCTTTTAGATAAAGGAGGGAAACATATCAACAGAGTCCGTCAGAGAGTCAAAGCCAAAGCTACGTCGTTTAATGATAACTCTGACCTACTGAGAGCGTCAGTCTTACCCGATGGGTCTGGAGACGACAATCTCCACCAGAGGCTCGGCCTTGGATTCAAGAATGATGTTGTACACTTCTTTCTTGGTTGCTCCCGGCAACGACTTCCCGTTCCACTGCAACACCTCGTCACCTGGAAACAAGACGACGGACATGATGCTTTATATTTAACTCTAAACATGAACATTTCTCTGCTTTCAGTCCAACTGAAATGAGAAACTCTTTAGATTGTGTCTTCTTCTATGCTGAGTTTAAACACATTTGTGGAATAAGAGTTGCTTCTAAACTTCAGTGATGCGCTTCTGTCTCGTTAGTTTTGTTAAAAAATGTTTCACAAAGTCAAGGCATGATGCTAAGTCATCTGGCCTTTATAACATTATTTAGCCAGTAGCGCTAAGTCACTAGCTTTTGCACTTTTATCTCTTTTACATTCATGAGTTGGTTCTTTTATTGTTTTTCTATTTGCTTTATATGAAACCATCGTAGTTTACATAACATGATCGTTTGCATCTTATTGCTTGTCCATGTGCTTATTTCTTGTAGTTAAATTTCACCTGCTTACGTACGTTTGTTACGATCAGGAACATTTAGCATTTAGCTCTCATGTTCCTAAACTTTGTTTGTTTTACAGAGGGGGTGTTGGTGATTTTTAAATTCATGTTTTTTAAATCCTTTTACCTGGATTGCTTTATTTTTATTCGTATTATTTGTATTGTTGGTTCTTGGTTAGTGGTTTGCTTGTTTTTCTTTTGTTTCGCTTGCTTATGTTCTCTTGTTATTGGATCGGTGTTTTCTCGTCTTTTGTTCTCGTTTGTTTTCTTCTTTTTTAGTTCATCATTTTTGTGTTTTAGAGGAGGCTTTATTCGTGGAGATTTGACCTTTGCCTGTTTGGCCATATGTTTATTGGGGTAATGTTTCCTGTGGTGGTCATTGACTTCTGGTCATTGTGTTTTTTTTTTTTTGGCTTTTTTTTTTTTGGCTCCCTGTTGGTCGCCCGCTTGTGGTTTTTTTTTTTTAGTGTTTTTCACTATACTTTTTTCTCTCCTTTACTCTATTTTACACTGTGTTACTTTGTTCATCTTCGCTTTTCCATGCTTTACCTTTTTTTACCTTTTGTTTCTTTTGATGTTTTTTTATTTTTTTTTTTTTTTGTTTTTAAGTGTTTCTACTTGTTTCTTTTTGAGTACTTCTTAGGCTTCTTTCTTTGACTTCTGCATCTTCGACTTCAGTCTTCTTGTTGTGCTTCTGCTTCTCATTCATCCCTGCAGATTGCCGCTATCTTAAATAATAAAAACGTAAAACAAACATTATCTACATACAAACTGTTTGCTGAAAACACTATAAAAGTTTGTTTACTGCGGAGTTGGTGTCAGTATAGCGCTATATTCTGTTGCATGTTTTAAATTTCAGCATGTTACTTTCAAATACTGACATATTTGCTTTATTTTACCAACATTTTGGCACTTTTAAATGTAAAACAAGTGGGAAACTCCAGTGTGGTGTGAACTCTTCATGAGCCAGCTGATTAATCGTTTGATATCAAAAACCGTTTCCAGTTCCAGCCCACACATGCGTTGCATGCCAGTAAAAGCACCAGTCTGCAGGCAAACTCCTGCAACAGAAAACTGAAAACTTTTCTTTCTTGTTAATGTACTTATTTCTATACAGACGTTAATTTTACATTCACTTCCTGACAGTTTTATCGACAGAGTATACAAACCTACCGAAGCCCCTGCAACACAAAAAACAATAAAAACAACATGTAGTAGGGATTCACACCTGCGCGTAGGTGTCCCACAACATCTGCCAGGCTGCCTTTTTTCACTTTGGTGATGAAGGCCCCGAGTCTCCCCGTCTCCGTCATCTTCCCTCCCACCACCTGCAGATGAAGGCGAGACAGAATAAGAACCGAGCAGCACGTTGGCAGCGATTCTCGGCTCTCTCCAGGATGCGGCAATTTGCTCAACGGGCGCTATTGTACGTTCTTTTTTTGTTGTTGTTTAATACTCACCGCAGCTTTTCCAGGAATTGCAACGCATTTCTGGTTCGAGGAAGAAAAAAGAAAACGATGGATCTGACGCAGGTGGAGATAACGTAAGTGATTTCCTGTTTACCTTCAGGCCCAGGAGGGATCCGGCCTCGCGGGGCATCGCCGACCTCTTGCTCAGCGTGATGCGTCCGATCAGGTGGTCGCCTTCTTTGGATGGCTGCCACGTAACGGGATGCTGCGGGGACAGAGGACGTGTCTGATTATACGTAAACATGATCCTTTACGGTCAGAAACACATAAACACTGCGACTGACACTTACATGCCACACTGCAGGATCTAGAGGATGACAGTCCCAGTCACCTGTAGGGAGGAAGAAAGGAAGCAAAATCAGTCATTTAGTTCAAATCATGTGCAATAAATGCGGATTTTCAATGCACAGAAGACTGTTTGGTCACCTTACAAGACATTTAACCTAAGACTCCTTCATTTTTTGTAAATTTTATTGTAGGTTTAATTACACTCAAAGTTTTTTCTTTGCCATGACTCTACATTGTGGTCAGGTGCATCCTGTTTGCTTAAATTATCCTCAAGACTGTCCATCTATGGCAAACGGAATTACCTGAACTTAAGATCCCACAACCCAAACTGCATCATGTCAGGACAAGAACTGAAGCTGAAGGAACTTTCTTTTCTTTCCTCAAGCTTTAAATGTGTTTCCAGGAGCACAGTCGCCTAAAAAACTGTGAAGTTGACAAAGTTTAGAACCACCGGGACTCGAAGAAGAAGCCGTCGGTCCCCCTAAGCAAAGCCTCATAAATCCTCTGCGGAGATAAAGAACCTTGTTAAAGGACGAGCATCTCATCAGCTCCCCATCCGTCGGGCCTTTATGACCGAGCAGCTGGATGAAGCAACTCTGAGTGAATGACACATGACGGCCTGTTTGGAGTTTGTAAAACTGCATTTAAACGAGTCTGAGAGGACGAAGTAAAACATCTGCTCGTCTCATGAGACAATAGTAAAACTCAGAGCTCTATGGCTGTGTTCTCACTGCGTGGACAAGAGTCTAAATTAAGCTATGGGGAAAATATGTCCCCCTAAACGCCTTTATTTTTTGAAAGTTCATGATTTTTGGAGATGGGGCTTAAATCACTGAACATTTCTGACTGGTTGGGTGAGCACAACATCCCATTTTAGCCGTTCATCTCATGGTTTTTCTCCACGATAGCTTGTTTGCTGATGTGTTTTATGCATTTTAAATCCAATTTGCTAGTGCTGTTCATCTCTTTTCCAGCACTGACTCAATAACCTGATGTACAAAGCTGTAAATCACAACCAATAACAACTTGAATCTCTTCTGATTACTGTAGAGTCCCACCTTCTGGACTGGACTGTGCATAGCAACGTACAAAGACGACCTGTGAAAACAGCCGCCATTTTGTATATCAGCGTCCTAATTTGCTTCATCTCTGCAGGTTGTTAGGCTGTGGTGGAAATACTGACAACAAACGATCTGAAGGAAACGTTTACTTCCTTAAAAAGTCCAGTGGAAACGTGACTTGTGTCTGTTGAACAGCATCACTTTAGCGAAGCACGGTGGCGGCAGCATCATGCTTCTCAGCAGCAAGAGCAGGGACTGAGGGGAGGATGAAAGCAATCAAATACACAATAACAACACAGTCGGTGTGGCTTTAGAACAAAAATCTGACCGTCGACAAGTTGATCAGCTGAGGTCGAGACACCTAAACCCAACAGAACCACCTTAAGATGAAAATTCAGACGTTTCACTTCCGATCTGATGGAAGAAGATCTGCAGAAGGAACGAGCTGAAGTGTCCAAATTCAGCCTGCAGAGAATCAAACAAGACGACCAGGAGCTGCTGCAGAAGACACAAAGTCTCTACGGGATGCTTTTCTAAATGAGAGATTTCAGGTTTGGGTTTTTAATAAATCTGTAGTACTTCTAAACATGTTTTGACTTTGGTATTTCCGGTTCTTGAAATTAAAACAGCACAGTAAAGTGAGGGAGGTTGAGGACTTCCTGAAGCGACTGCATACATCCATAAACATAAACTTGGATTTCCACCTTTACAAAGCCATAATTACCAGTGTGTCCCGCTCAGGGCACGCTGCTCTGTCCTTCACCAAAGAGCTTATTGCCTCGTGTTGCGTATTTACACAAACCCTGACACTGAACCAGTGACTCACCTGCCCACAGGGGGTTTGTTTCACGACCTGCTAGGATACAAGCTGCTCCCTCTACCGCTGTTGATTCATGGGAACTCCTATTTGAACCATCGGTGTAAATGACATGAATCCCAGATACAACAATTAGCAACAGAAAAGATTAGAGAGCAGCCACGCTCTGAGATGCTGAAGTTGCACATCATAATGCAATTGCAAAAAATAATCCTGTTCTCAAAAAGCAACTCATTAATTAAATTCCCTTCTGATATTGTACACAGCTCGGAATGCAAAAAGTGATATTTTGGAAACGGCGCCGAAGAAAACGAGGCGTAAAAGATATAAAAGTCTTGACAAAAGGCGTTAAAGCTGTAAACTTCATTCACAGTCAGACTAATTCACTCCGAGCCAGCCTCTCCGACACTCGTGGCCGGAGTTCGGCTGCAGGGACGGAGACACCGGTGGCTGTCGGAGCATCCCGGCATTCATTAACGCTGACAGATGGCGGGATCGAGTCAAGAGGCGAACTGGCCCAGTATCAGACCGGAGGAGCCCGAGAGGTTCACTGTTTCATCACAGGGGTCAAACCACAGCGAGATGACATCAGACGGGGATTTTACAAGCATGTGAAGAGCCCCAGATTTAAAGTCGGTGGGACCAAGAATCTGTCAAGTGTGACTGACTCTTTATTTTTTTACAATGGAATCAATGAAACACACACGTCATGCATTTTGGTTCTTTAGATTTACGACAGGTCTTTTGGAAATATGACAAAATCTGCTGGGTTAGAAATATAAACCCACCTTGATTTGGTGATGTAGAAAGTTGTATTCATGATTTTTTTTAGTGGAATGACCTCTTAACTTCTCACGCACGATTACGATCGACTACAGCTGGTGACTTCTCTAAACCAACATAAATAGGTCCCATCTGATCCGCTCACTAGACTCAGTCACAAACACTACAGTGGGAAAGTCTGGGGAGGCCATCAATTCACCTGTCAGGAAATCATCTGGAGCCATTTCTAAGCAGTATGTTCACAGGAGAGAAGGTGACCCCCAAAAACACCAAACCTACAGTCAGGCATGGAGGTGGCATTATTATACTCTGGGGCTGTTTTGTTGACACTGGAGGTCTGGTGCTTTACAATAATTCACATGAAGTAAATTGAATAATAAAGAAGAAGGAGAATTACCTCCACATTTTCAAGAAATTCAACAGTGAGAAGGTTGGGTCTTGGATGGGTGTTCTGACAACACAATGACACCAAACGAGCATCAAAAATGGTGAAGCCAAGCCAAGAAAGTCACTCGAAGCCATTTCTAAGCAACATGTTTAGAGGAAAGACGGTGACCTTAAGAACACCAAACCTACAGTCAAGCATGGAGGTGGCAGCATCATGCTCAGGGGCTCTTCTGCTGACAGTGGAGGTCTGGTGCTTTACACCAAGTAGACTGAATATTGAATAAGGAGAATTACCTCCACGTTTTCAAGAAAACCTAAAATCATCAGTCAGAAGGTTGATCTTGGATGGGTGTTCTGACAACACAATGATCCCAAACAAACATCAAAAATGGTGAAGCCAAGCCAAGAAAGTCACTTGAAGCTATTTCAAAGCAGCTACAGATTCCAAAATCATCTGTAGTTAAAATCACTCGGTTTCATTTTATCTTTACTTTATTTTTTGTCTCGTGGCCGTCTGAGCTACGCTGCTGCAGTAACTGAGACTAGAGGCTTCTCTGTGCACAGCCACGTGTGAGGTGTTCAGGGACCATCAGTAAACTGTACCATTCACCAGAAGAACAAGCTGGTTTACGCTCTGATTCTAAACTGCATGACTCATTTTTCATAATGTGTAAAGAAATTATAAATGTCAGCTGGCAAAACCAAATAGCTAGCTGCACCGGTGCAACCAGTGTGAAAAGTTAAGCGGGAAAACGCAGGATTCAGCTCAAGTTTCCAGCAAACGGTGGCAGAATGGGAAAAAAATAAAGATTAAAATTCATGGGTGAAGCTACAAAACATGCGCAGTGCTGTTATATTCAGAGGAAAATGACAAAATACTCCACAACATCACATGTGATGGTGATAATAAGAAAAAAAAGTGAGAGTAGACACGACTCCAGTGCTGCTAATCTGAAATCTGAAAGTCCACAGAGGATGCTCGGGAGGAAAACTGCTGACTCGTCAGTTTGAAGTGCTGAGTCGGCCTTTTTGGGTTTTTGCAGGGCAGATTACTGTACGACTGAATCTGGGCCGCTGCTCCAACGGAGGCTACATCAAAGCACGGGACACCTTAAGTTAAGGTTTTCTTTTAAAGCACAAGTTGAGGTTTGTTTAAAATGAAACCCTCAGGTTTCTCCTTAACATGTGTTTTTAGCTTTTCTGCATTTCTTGGTCTGATTTTTAAGGAATCCAGTGACGTTAGTTGAACCCCCTGAACCCAAACGAAACATGTTTTTAATCCAATTTTTACTCACTGTGGGTTAATTTTTCTCTGCAATATAAAGTCCTGCACCTCTATGGAAACAGAACAACCGTGAAGAAGAAGGAGAGAGAACTTAGAAGTGGCTTAAATCAAGCATGATGCAGTTATATTTGAAATAAATCCTTAAAAAAATATTTTATTCTTACACAAAAATTGAAAAAACATGGAACCAAAACATGTCCAACATTTTTCCAGGTGCCCACAGGTGTTACGACGGCTGAAAAACAACAACTATAGATTTTACCGTTTACATTTTTAATTAATTTTCTCTTTCCTGTTCTTTTTAAACACGACCTGCAGTTCACCTGAAACATCCCAGAACTGTTGCCACGTGGTCGCTGCTGAGTCACTCATGGATTCACAGGCGCAGCAAGGAATGCAAACTTTTGCTTTTTACAGAATCTAGCTGCTTCAAATGGCTGAATTTTAGCGATTTGAAAAAAAAAAAACAAGAAAAAAAAAGAGCCACGTAGAAAAAAGTGATTTTGACGAAATATCACAATTTTAATCTAAAACCTGGTGAACTTTTCTGACTGAATGGCCTTCCAGAGACGAGTCGCTCAAGATCTAAAAAATGGGGGTCAGACGGTTTAACAGCTGCACAAAAGTATTAAACAAAAACTACAAAAAGTGGAGGGACTTGTGACTGTAATGGTTGAGTTTATGGCGATAAATGAAGAAAACATTTCCAG